TGTGCAGAGCAGCGAGCGGCTCAGGGACAGCTGGGCCCATCTGCAGCACGGGCAGTGGGAGCTGGGCAGTGGAGCTGCCCCAGAGCCACGGGCAGCAATGGTGACAATGGCTTTGGCCACTGCGGCCACTGAGCCACCGGCGAGGGGCACGGGGGAGTCCAGCCCCGAGCAGCCCCTGGATTTCAGAGCACCCCGGGCTGTGCTGTGCCCTCGCTGTGCAGGGAGGTTCTGCCAGGCTTTTTGGGGCTGCTCAGTGTCACATGGCAGGTTAGACACTGTGCCATTAGCACAAGTTTAGTTTGTCTCAGTGCAAGCGGCCTCTGGTTTGGTAAACCAGACTTTTGGCCGGTTTTGAGGAGGGGATTTTCTCAAAAAGCAGTGGATGTTGGCCCAGCTCCCAGTTCCCAAGGAAAGGTTATCTTCCAGTGCAACTCAATCCCCCACCAGTGTGAGATAGGAGAATTCCAGCTCTGTGTTTTCTTCCCCTTGCTTTGCTTATTAAAAACATATTTAATTGCTGGTGAGCTTGGCTGGGGCTGCTGGCCCCGTGCCAGCTGTGCCAGACGGGTCCGGGAGCAGCGAGGTCCAGGCGTGCTTCCCCTGCTCTTCCCATTTCCTCCGGGAAAGCTCTGCCAGGGCTCCCAGGACCAATCCGACCCCTGTCAGTCACACAGGGAGAGCTCTCCTGTTCCAGCCGCGTGTTTTCCATTGTAAGCTGATCGTTCCTGGCATGTGTGGTGTCCCTTTGATTGCAATTCATTCAGAAGCTTCCCCGTGCAGGCGCTGCGGCCGGGAGAGGCTCGGCTGACACAGCCATTCACGGTGGCACCAGGGCAGCTCTGCCTTTCCCTGTCCCTTTCCCTGTCCCTTTCCCTTTCCCTTTCCCCAGCTCTCTGCCCCTCAGCCCCGCTGCAGGAAGGGTTTCAGACCTTGTTGTGCTCCGGGCAGCCCCTGGGGATTGACGGGCACGCCGGGGCTGGTGGGAGCGTGCAGGGCTGCTCTGCGGCTCTGGTGGTGGAATAAGCTGAGCTGCTGCACTGCTGTCATCTGTCCTTGCAGTGGCAGTTGTGAAATGTGCCCCAGAGCCTGGGAATGTGCCACTCATGCAATTAATCCCCGTCCTCAAAGCCCTTTTGGCTGCACGGGCTGCATTGGGAATCTGCAAACGCCGTTCTGAGGCTCAGCTCTGCTCCCGAGTCACAGAACATTATCTCAGCTGGAAGATCAGATTTAACGAGAATTGGCGTGCTGGGGGATTGGCAGAGAGGAGTTTCATGTCCGTGCCCACGCTGCCCATGGCAGTGCCCCCCTGCACTCACACACCAGCACAGTTGGCTCTGATGTGCACGCTGGGCTGGGGGCTCCTCTGCAGTTTCAATAAATCTTTGTTTTCTGCCTGGGGACTGGCGATCCATGGGCAGATTTACCTGGCATGTTGGGTTTGTGTGGCTGTAGCAGAAAGGGGGCACAGCCACATTATTAGCTGTGCTTGTAACTTTACTTGATGTGTTTTGGTCTTTCAGGTGAATCCAGGACATTTCTGTTGCTTTCCTCTGGGAGGAAAAGTGTTTAAGTCACCACTCTGACTTGAACTTTTAATGTTCTCCCTGCACATTTGTCATAAATGCATTGAATTACTGAGTTTGATAGAGTCTGAGTCCCTTCTTACATTAATTTATGTCCTGGCAGACAATGTTTCTTGCTATGAATATCCTGCAGGAATAGAACATTCGGTCCGAGTGAAAAATACAGCCAATTATTTTTCCTCTTTGTCTCACTCTGGGTCCTGTTCTGGTAACTGTGTCATGCTCTGAGAGGAGCTGCTGTGTTTTCATTGCTGCTCCCTCTGAAGGGGCAGCTCGGGTGCTCTGCAGAGAGGCACAAATGCATCCCTGAGGGTCTGGTGTCAGTGCCCCAGCCCCTGCCGGTGGGAACAGGCAGCTCCAGTGTCTGTGCTGGTCCAGATCCCGTCCTGGGTGATTTTGTGCTGCTGGAGGCAGTGCCAGAAGGTTGGGTGTTTGTCACAGGATCTCATTCCTTGGCGTTCCTGGGGGAAGGTGCAAAGGAGTGACTGGCAGCAGATGTCCTGTCATGGGTAACTGGGGAGGGAAGGCAGTCACAGGTTTTGTCCTCTGGGTTATTTCCAGAGCAGTCACCTAAAGATGAGGATGGATTTTTTCAGACTCTCAGCTTCACATAAATCAGGAATGTTAAAGAGCAGATTGCCAGGGCAGCAGGTCTGGGCTGAAAACTGACATTTTAACCATCATCTTCAGTGGCCAGCCTGTCCATCAGGGCCTGTGGTCTCTTATCCTTGGGTTGTCAGTAAAAGTCTGAAAATTGGAGTTATTTTTGGCCCATTTTAGCCTGGTTCATGAGAATTGATTTTTCTGATTTGCCTTTAAACGTAGGGAGTGTGACTGGGAAGCACAGAACAATATCCTTGCAGTGGGAAGGAAGGTGGATAATGGAGTGATGTGATCTTTCATGTTAACACCTGCTTAGGATCTATTTAAATTGTTGTGAGGGGGAGTCTCTGGTTCAGTTTCAGCATCCTTCCTCTTCCAGATGAGCTGTGAGCTCACAGCATCCTCATGTACACCTCACATACCCTGGGAAGACGAGAGCTAGAAGAGAGACTTGAAATTGTTGTGGTAAAATGCAAGGACTGAAAGACGAGTGCAGGCCCTTGGCATCCTCCGGGGGAAGGCACAGAGAGGTGGAAGGTGGAGCTGGAGAGCAGCTCTGTGTGAGCTGTGCAGCAAGGCTGTGCCAGCCTCTGCTGCTGCTTGCTGGAGATTAATCCAGTTAGTGACCCAAAGGAAAACACAGAAACAATATGGTCAGCTCAGCACTTCTAAAATAATTTCAGTCTCTATTATGTCATCTGCTCTAAATACCAATTGTTTGGTGCTGGCCCTGTTGTCCATCAGAACTATTATTAAGAACTATTTGCCATTTGTTCTTTCCTGTCCTCTTAGCAAAAACTTCCTCCCTGTGCATTTCTTTACCTAAGAGCTGGACATCTGTCTTCCTCCTGGTTGTGACAAACACGCTCAGGGCTCTTCTCCCCAGCTCTGTGCTCACTGAACCGGGGTGTCCTGGGCTTCTCCTTCCCATCGGCACCACCAAGCCCTGCCGTGCAGCCAGATGTGTGGGTGGGCTGGGGATGCAGACAGATGTGGCTCCAGGAAATCATTGGAGCTGGGAGCTCGGTGAAGGGAGGTGTTAACAGAAAAACATCAGCACCCAAAGGGGCTGGGAAAAGTTCCTGATTTACCTGGGAAGGGACAAGGGAAATCTCCCTGATCTGTAGATCTCGGGTGTCTGAGGCAGAATTTGATGAAATGCCAGTAACTGCTGGAGGAGGTTCCTTGGGTCAGGCTCTGCTCCTGCTGCTCCTGTTAATCAGTGCTGGAAGATCACTAATTGAGCAGCTCTGTGAAGCTCTGTGGGTTATTGTTTGGGGAGGGAGGGGATCATGGAAAGGGTGCTTTCCAAAGCACTGGTGCCTTTCCAGTAAAAAACCACTCTGTATGTGAACTCTGGCAGTTTTTTGTTTGGTTCCCCCTCCCCATGTTGAATATTCCCTGATGATGATTTGAAAGTGGAGTTTTGAATTTTGCACTTGGGTTTTCAGTGCAGTTTTTGGGGTGTGTGTGGTTAGAATGAGCTTTGCTTTGGAGGAGCACTGAGGCAGAGCTGCCTGGCCCACACCTCCACAGGACTGAGCCAGGGAATTCCTCCCATCACAGTCCCAGGCACTGAAGGGGAGCACAGCCCTGTGAGTACTTGTCTTGCTTTAAAAGGCATGAGTTGGCTTGTGCAGAATTAGACATAAAACTTTTCATGCCAATTTTTAGAGATTGCAAAAGTTTCAGGAGTAATGAGATCCAGTTTGAGGCACTGCATCCATTTGATTTCCAGCCCAGTCTGCTGAACTCTTTGCAGAATCCCTTTTGCCTCTCACAGACCAGGTAGTTCAGTGGTGACCCTCTGCCAGGGAGGTGATCTCTCTTTGCTGGACACTCTTCCTTTTCTGGAAGAAGAAGAGAAGCCAGTCTGAACTTGGGAGAGCTGAGATCTCAGCAAGGAGGAGAGGCTGGCAGACACTGGGGAAGGTTTCTTTTCCCTCCAGAATTTTCTTTCCAGGGTGAGTACTCTTAATTGCAGGTGGGTGGAATCCAAGCCCCGCAGGCTGTTTGGTCACCAGGCAGTGACTTCACTTTGGGCTGGGCTTCCCTCACTCTCCAGTTCTGTAAAAGACTGAGCAGATACCATGAAGAGCAAAAGATAAAGCAGAGGGGGTTGGTCTGCTTCATTTTTTAACTTGCACAACCCGAAATTACAGCAGGGTTTGCCAGCAGAGTTAAAAGTCTCAGGGTGTTGAAAACTCTGGCGCTGCTGGTGGGATTGACATTGGCAGAGGGACCCTGAGGGTGACACTGACCCCTGCCAGGGCAGGACAGAGGAGCCACAGCCCAAAGCCACAGCCAAACCCTCAGAGCCACAGCCCAAAGCCTCCTGTCCTGCCTGTGCAGATGCTGGGCTCAGCCCAGCCATCCCCATCTCGCTCATCCACAGATGAGGAACATCCCCTCTCCTTTCCCAGCCGTTCAGGCTCCCCAGGCTGCTGCTGGCACCTCGTTTGGCAGCCCCAGCTCCTTTGTTCAAAGCTTTGGGCTCAGGTCTGTTCCTGCCGGGCTTTGCCCATGAGGAACGAGCAGCCCAGCCCTGCCAGCCCTGCCAAGGAAGGGTTAATGCTCCCTGGGTTTGCCCTGCCAGCCCAGCAGGGCTGCCCCATCCTGGGCAGCTCACAGAGGCCATGGGGACGGGGCAGGTGCCCAGGGTTGGTGCCCAGGGTTGGTGGCCAGGCCAGGCCAGGACCCTGCCCTCCCCATGCTGTGATTACTGCTCCAGGGGATTTGGTGGCAAGTGGCCAATGAGGGGCCAAGCTCCTCCAAATCCAGCTTTTTCCAAAGCCCCAGATAAAACAGACTGCCATTAATAAGGCAAGAAGGGTTAGGACGAGCAGCATTACAGCAGGTCTGGAGAGGGGAGGTGACAGTTCTGTCTGAGGCTGGCGAGCATCTGGTGAGCCCAGCTCGGTGTGGGAGCCAGGAGCAAGGTGAGGCTGGAACTGGGACATTATTTGCACGTCTGCAGCAGGAGTTTGTTTGCTGGTGTTCAGAAATGCCATAGCTGGAGGCTCTGGGTGGTGGAATCAGGAAGCTGAGCACAGATTTTCTGTATCTTTAGCTGTGTGCTCAAAGGTGACAAACAAGTTTCTTGAGAGAAAAGCTCTGAAATATGACAGTAACCTGCTGGTGAGTTGAGTTTTAGGTTCTGGGGTTTGAAATGGGGATTTGTGGTCACAAACTGTTGAGCAGTTTCCACTTAGAGAGCCGGGTTGTCACAATTTTCTGATGGCTGCTCTTTCTCGCTGCTCAGCTCCACGTACGGAGATGGAAATGGAGCAAGAAATTGAACCAGCTTTGTTAAAATGAAGGAGATGTAGAAAATAAAGCTTGGTAATGTAAAGCTGAACATAAGAAAAAAAGAAAAAGCTGGCCTTTTCCACTCTAATCTTGAGATCTGTTGCCGTACAAAAAGCAGTGATGAGCCTTTTAAAGTGTTGGTGGCAGCTGAGGCTTCCCTAGCCCAGGTAATCTCCTGTGCAAACCCCTCAGCCAACCCTGCTGTGCCTCCCCTGCCCTTCCCACTCCCCTCCTGCTAAAATAGAACAAGGGGCAGCTGTTGGAAGTGGAGCCCATTTGCTTTCTGGGGCTGCTTTGGGAACACGATCCAGATCCTGCGTGAGAGAGAGAAAGCAACAGAGCAGAGGAGAGGGGGGAGTTGGGAAGCTCCGGAGAATTACTTGCTTATTTTAAGCCTGGTGTAGGAAGTTCAGTCTTTGTAGTGAGGTTGAGGGATGAAGCAGAACTGCTACTAAAGGTCCTGGCCTGGGAATTAAAGAATTCCTGGTTGAATGTAAGTAATACTAGAGTTTGTTGGTTGTTCTGTGCAATATGTCCAGTGCATTGAAATGTCTTTGATTGTGCTCTAGTGAGAGGTGCCTGAGCTGAGGCCCTTGAGAGCTGAAGATGTGTTATGGAGTAACAATTTAATTCTTCCTGGGGTTTATTTTTAATCTACTTGGGCACTTCAGGTGAGGAAACGAGGCTCTGTTCTGGCTCCTGATTTCAGCTGGAGACAGGGCACAAAGGACTCAGAAGCACAAGAATATTCTAAAATACCATTCATAATTCCACACCTTGGGCTTCTGCCAAGCAATTAATGGAGACTCAAACTCTTTATTTTTGTTGTCAGGTCAGACAATCCACTTCTGTCAGCTCCTCTTAGAAAACTCCTAGTAAGCTGTGAGGAAAATGAGAGAGCTGTTGGCTGAGGTGGTCAATGCAGGTGGGATGGGTGGCAGGAGTGGCCAGCAGGGAGGGGATGGTGCAGGAACCTGCTGAGCCCTGCTCTGGGGACACCGTGCACTGCCCCGGGGACACCGTGCACTGCCCCGGGGACACCGTGCACTGCCCCGGGGACACCGTGCACTGTCTGGGGACACCGTGCACTGTCTGGGGACACTGTCCTGTCCCGGGGACACCGTGCACTGTCGCTGTGCTCTCTCTCCGCAGCTGTCCATGAAGGAGGTTGGTGACGGGCTGCACGAGCAGATGAACTGCATGATGGGCGCCCTGCAGGAGCTGAAGCTGCTGCAGGTTCAGGCAGCCCTGGAGCAGCTGCAGCTCTCGGGGTGCCGCAGCCCCCCGGAGCAGCGCCCGGCCGAGCCCCAGGGACCCTGCCCCGTGCCAGGGCCGGCCCCATCGTCCCATCCCTCTGCAGTGGCACGGAGTGAGCGCCCCGGGGACAGCCCCTGCTGCTCCCGGAGCCCCCCAGGGCAGGACCTGTGTGCCCCTAAAGGACCTTCCCCCGTGCCCGGCGGAGCGGAGCACGGCCAGCCCCGTGGCCAGGGCACGGCTGGGGGGTGGCCACTGTGCCAGGAGTGCCCTGGGTGTGACGATGGCCACGACTGGACATCGTCCCTGATGTCCCAGAGCAGGAACCGGCAGCCGCTGGTGCTGGGGGACAACATCTTTGCAGACTTGGTGGGGAACTGGCTGGACCTGCCCGAGCTGGATAAGAAGGGGGAGAAGAGCGAGGGGTCCCTGGCCAGCAGCAGGTCCCAGGAGCTCTGCAGGAAATTCTCCCTCACCGCCAACATCTTCAAGAAGTTCCTGAGGAGCGTCCGGCCGGACCGGGACAGGCTGCTCAAGGAGAAACCCTGCTGGCTCCCTCCCGAGGACAAACAGCCCGACATCTCCAAGAGGTCCAAAAAGATCAGCAAGCTCAAGGGGACATTTTACCTGCCCCTGCACGGGAACCTGCAGAGCCACCACAGCAAGGCAGAGAGGTGTCCCAGGGCAGAGAGCCGCAGTGAGCAGCCCAGGACGGGCACCAGGAAAGTCCCGGACTCCAGAGACTTCAGCCAGGCAGGCTTTGACATCAACACGGCCGTGTGGGTCTGAGCCCGGCCCCCCTGCCCTGCCCTGCATTCCCACAGCCACGGGAGCTGCTGGCCACGCTCACCTGCCCCGAGACTCCTGAGATCCCCCAGGGACAGAGGGGATCTGCACAGCTCGGGGCTTCCCTGTCCTGCGAGGAAGTTTCTGGAGAAGCACGGCTCCAGGGACTGCCTGAGCAGCAGCCCCACGTGGGGAGACCTTTGGGGAGTGGCAAAAATAACCCAAATCCTTAGCAGCTCTAGGGTGAGTGGTGCCACAGGTGAGCAGCTCCTGGTGCCAGGCCCGTTCCATCATCTCCAGCTCAATGGCTGCAGCACAAAATCCACGGTGTGCATGTGTGTGTGTGTGAGTGTGCAAATATATATATATATATATAGTTTTGTTAAAAAAATCTATTCCTGCTTGTGTGCACTTGAAACTGACTTATAAACCAGGCATCCCAAGCCTTGTACCTGAAGCACTTGTTATTTAAATGGAAAGAAACATTTGAATTTATAAGACTTGAACAATTGCTGAGTGGGGGGCAAACCCCCAACCTTGGGGGGGATTTCCCCCTAAGCTGCATCCCTGGTGCTCTCCCAGCATCTCTCCCTCCCCTCTCAGTTAAACCAGGGGGACACAAGGCTCCCTTCAGGCCTTTGTGACCTGGGGGTCTCGGTGGGTTTGCCCCCCTCCCCTTGTCCCTGTGGATCACTCCAGGTACAACACTGCTGAAGTTTATTGTTGGATTTTCACCCAGATGCAAAGTCCAGTCCCCGTTTCTTGTTGTGTTCCCTGTTGCTGTTGTGCAAACCTCGTCTTGACAGAACCAAGTTCTTCAGTGTCCGACTCTCCAAGAGTTTCCAATAAAGTGAAATTGGTCTCGTGTCTGCTCTGGGACACCCTCGGTCTCTTCTCTCACTCGGGATTTCCTTGGCTGTTCCAGCTGGGATCAGGCACTTTGGGGAGCAGCCAGAAGAGTTTCCATGCAAGGAGGGGCCGTGAATCACAGCAGAGCTCCCTGCCAGCCCAGGGCTCCTTCAGCCTCCTCATCCTCATCCATCCTGCCTGCCACGGCACAGGCAGCGGGACCAAGGTTTGGGGGAGAAAGGGAAGAGCCCCAGAGCTGTGGCTCGGGGAGGGGACAGGGCTGGGGGGTCCTGCCACAGCCCCAGGAGCCCCGGGAGCACAGAGCCTGGTGCTGGCATTGCAGCCCCATTTCTGCAGCCTCACCTGGGCAGGTGCTCTGTGTGCAGCAGGGCTGTGCTCCTAAACCTGTTCCACTCACTCCCAGTTCAGGAGGGGCTCCCGTGCCAGCAGGGGATCGTTGTTTTAAACACCCAGCTCTGCTCCTGTTGTAACTTCCCAGGGCAGCGAGGCCAGTGGGGCAGAGGCGTGCAGGCAGAATTCTTTTTCTCCTTTGCAAATTAAATATAGGCACAAGGCAGCCCTGGCTGTGCCCATACAAGGAGAGGAGCAGGGCAGCCCCGAGCTCAGCACTTCTGCAGGACCTGAGCAAGCTTTTGTCTTTCCTCCTCCTGGGCTCCTTCCGAATTTCTCTGAATTTCTCTGAATGCCCAAAGGCTGCTTGTGAAGCGTTTTGTTTTCCTCCTCTTTTATCAGTAGTTCATCCTGTTTGTTACCTCCCTGCTCCTTTCCAGAGGGTCAGCAAAGAGCAGTTTTCCAGGGAGAGGAGCAGCTTTTCCTGCAGCAGCCTCAGTCCCCGGAGAGTCCCCAGTGGGCTCGGCCCAGGCACAGCCTGGGGGTCCCAGCCCGGAGCCCTGGGGCACCCCCATGGCCAGGAGCTCACCCCAGACGTGCCCCATTGGCACCCGAGGCTGAGCCAGGGCACAGGAGCCCTGTGCTGGGTGGGGATTTGCCCAGGACGGTGAGAGCTCGTCCCTGGCACTGCCCTCAGGTGTGCTGGGCAGTGGTGAGGCCAGGCTGAGGTGACACACCGTGGCCACGGTGACATTTGGGATGGGAGGGGATTTCTGCAGGCCGGGAGTGTGCGGGACAGGGAACTGCAGCGCAGAGTGCACAGTGGCACCCTCTGTGGGAAAGGCAGTTCCCAAGGCTCCCCCCCATTCCCAAGGCTCCCCCCCATTCCCAAGGCTCCCCCCCATTCCCAAGGCTCCCCCCCATTCCCAAGGCTCACCCCATTCCCAAGGCTCCCCCCCATTCCCTCCCACCAGCCCAGCCCAGCCCCGTGTCCCTCCTGGGTCTGAGCCCAGCCCAGCTCAGCTGTCAGGGGCTGCTCCCCCATCCCTGGGGCCTCTCCAGAGCCCTGCAGGTTTTTCTGGAGGAGCAGCTCTTGTGTCCCCCCTGCCCCAGCTGCTGCCCCCGAGCTGCTGGGCTCAGCTGCTGGCGCTGGCCCCGCTCCAGGGAGGAGCTCTGCAGCTTCCATTGTTCTGCTCCCTCTGGGAAGGGCAGCTCTCGGCCCCAGCTGCCTCCCACTTGTTCCTTTCCCACCCAAACGCTGGTGCTCAGGCCAGCACTGCCCAGGACACCTCCCAGGGCACGGCAGAGCAGCAACACCTGAGGACAGAGGGCCTGGGGGTTCCTTAATTTGTTCCTTTTCCAAAGCATCAGATCCCCAGCAGGGCACTTTGCATGGGCTGCTGACCAAATGCCCAACGTGGTTTGAAATTCTCTCTGCCTGTTAAGTGTATCTTCAAAGGATGCTTTGCATTAAAATAGGATTTTCCAGGGTGCTTGCAGTGACAAATCCAGTGTGGTCTAGGCTTGAAATGCTTGGAAAGAGCGAGAAAATGTAGCTGAGTCTCGAAGTTCTTAAGAGAAAAAAAATATTTAATAAATATTCTTTATAGACATTCAAATAATAAAGAATATCACCCAAGCCAGACATCCTCCCTAATTTAGTCTTCAGAGAAGGATCTGCTAATAGATCAGAGTTGGATTTGTGAATTACCATTTCACTTCTCCAGGGACTTTTCCTGAAATTATAATGGCTTTTGCTCTTCTTTTTTTTTTATCCTTCATGAAACTGCCACGAAATTGTTCTCCATTATTAAGTATGAAACCCACCTAATTAGCACATGGCAGTGTGTAACGAGGCCCTGGCTGTGTTCTGCACGGCTGACACGAGTGGCTAATCCCAGCCACGGGACAATAATGACAGGAGCAGGCTCCCCATCAGCTTGCCTGGGTTTATAGGAAATCCCAGTCAGTCTCCCCCAGGATGAGCAGCACTTCCCGGAGTTTGCAGAGCCCCATGGCTGGGATGGGGCAGTGCTGCCTCTGCCCCGCGTGGCTCAAAGCACAGAGAGGATTTAGCTCTTCATTAATGGAGAGCTGTTCCAGGAGCTGCTCCTCCCTGGCTCTCCCTGCTGCCCACACCCTGCTCTCCTGGCCAGATGGCCTCCAGAAGGCTCCCAAGTGTGCCTCTAATTAAAAAGCCTTGATTTGCAAAACCATTTCACAGCTTATTCTTCTGACAATGAGATGGGGCTCCTTGGGCTGCTGCAGGGCAGGAGGAAAGGCAAGCAGGGCTGCCAGTCCTGGAGTGCTTCCCTTTGGCCCTGGCACGGGCTCCAGCTATGCTTGTGTCCCCAGGACAAGGACAGTGGCTCTGAACTGGGAGAGAGCAGTGTGAGATGGGAAACTGGGAAGGAATTCCTCCCTGGGAGGGGGTGAGGGCACCTGTGGCTGCCCCTGGGGACCTGGGGATCTGGGGACCTGGGCACCTGGAGATCTGGGCACCTGGGGATCTGGGCACCTGGGGATCTGGGGTCCTGGGGACCTGGGGTCCTGGTGTCTGCCTCTCCCATAAGAAGCCAGGAGCAGCACTGGGGTTCCTGCAGAGCCCAGAGTGTTCCTTGCCCAGGTCAGGCTCAGTCTGGGGGTGCTGCTCCACCCTGGGGTGGCTCAGCTCTGCCGAGGTACCTGCTCAGAGCTTCCTCCTCCTCCTCCTCTTTCAGTTCCAGCCCAATTACCGGGGCTGGCACCCCAAGGCAGCCAGCCAGGCGTTTATGCTGCAGCTGCCTGATCTGCATGTGCTCATGCTAATGGAGTGGAAACGATTCAGGCTCGGCTTTGTGCTGAGTTTCCTGTGCCCTGAATTGAGCTCTGCTTGGAAAAAGGGGAGACTGGGCCCTCTGGGTTTGAAATAATTCAAGAGGGGAACTCTCCGTGTGCTGCTCACCTGGGTTTCAAACGCGTCTGTGATGCCATGGTGGGATGGTCGGAGCTTTGCACGGAATTTGCCTTAAAGTGGCAAATAACACAGATATTCCTGCGAGGAATTCTTATTTGTTCCCAAGAGGAAAGGGAGAAACATTCTATTTGCAGCTACAGAGTATTGGGAAATTCTCTGGAGATAAGCTGCACTGCCAGGAAAGTCGAGCAAAAGTCCTCACAGCACAGAGGTTTTATGGCAGCTGTAAATCACTCAGAGATGGGCAGGATAAGACACCCTGGGACAGCCAAACCTGCAGCTTCCTCCAGCAGCCTGCAGGCAATTCCTGCTCCTCTTCCTCGGCTGGGGAGCAGGGATGGAGCAGGGATGGGAGCAGGGATGGAGCAGGGATGGCTCAGGGGTCACAGTGGCACTGGTGACTCCAGCACAGCACCAGAGCCACCCCATCAGTGTGAGCTGAAATCTCCCTGGGAATGGCCCAGGCAGGAGCTGTGACCCAGGACAGGACCTGCAGGGACTGAAGGCTCAGACAATTCATTGTGCACAGCAGGTAATTCCCATTTCATTGCATGGAATTCCCATTTCACTGCATGGAATTCCCATTTCATTGCATGGAATTCCCATTTCGCTGCTCACAGGTCAGTGCAGGAGGGACCTTTGGTGGTTTCCTCTGCCATTTCTCAGGCTGATGTGGATTCAAAGGCAGTTCTGTATTCCCAGAGTTTCAGGTGCTCGTGGCTTTCAGGTTTGGGGCACTGCCAGAGTCCCCCACGTAACCCAGGGATGGTGAAAGGGATGCAGAGCTGGGAGAACTCTGGAGGGAGCAGCCAGAGGAGTTTTCCTGGTAAAACCTCGGCCATGGCTGCAGCGGGCAGGACCCAGGGGAGCCCTGCCCGCCCTGCCCTGCCCTTCCCGGGGAAAAGACAAGAGGGAAAGAGTTAAAAGCTGTCTCCAGGCAGGAGAACAAAAACACCATTGCACTCATCTCGCTGCTGTGCTCATCTAATTACGTTATTTAACAGGATACCCTCTCATTGATTTTAATTACTCACATAATTTGGGAAGTAATTCACAGCACATCCCTGCAGGGTGCACAGCCAGGAACAATGTGCTCGAGTCTTCCATGGAAGGAGGGGAGGGGAGGACGAGCCCCAGCCCCCAGGCCAGGGCACCTGGGCACCTGTCCCTTGGGAAAGGCTCCTCGGGTCAGTGCCATTAAACATTGTCACAGGCGTGGGGTGTCCCCAGCTGTGTCCCAGCCAGCTCAGCCCCGGCTGGGCAGGATTTGGGGGATCCCTGGGTGGGAGCAGGGATGCCCTGGAGGGATCCCAGCGGGTCCCTGTGTCCCTGCATCCCCCGTGAGGATTCACTGTGGATTCATTGTCCCTTTGACAGCGGGGTCCTGCCAGGGCCCATGTGCTCCTGTGGCACTGCTGGGGGATGCTCATCCCTGCAGAGCCTGGGCTCCCCTCAGCCGAGCAGCCTGAGCTGCTCCTCATCCCCCCAGCACCGTGAATCAAACACTCCCTGGCACTGGTGGCTCTTAAAAACATTTTAAACCACAGCCCTGCCATTTTAACGGGGCTTTTTAAACACAGTTGCACAGGGTTTAGCAAAATTGCACCCCCAGCACGCACTTGTTTGGTTTCTTCACTGTCTTTTGTAAGTTCCCCTGCTTAATTAGGATGCAAACAATCCCAGAGGAATGTTTAATTAATATTATAAAGCAACAATGGGATGA